ATATATCACCAGCTTCTGAACGGGTTTGCAGAAACTCAAAGTTTTTATGGCCGCTTAGCTAAGGCCGCTAACAAAGTTACAAAGAAAGAAACTAAGTCAAAGTTCACGGATAGAAATAAATCAGCTTATTTTCTACATTTTATAAAACAACAACTTGTGATTCTTTTATAACTGGTCTGAGCAGCAGCTGATATATTATTATATGATCCACTCTGTGAAACAGATCAAAGCTAACACTTCCACATGAGGAAGGAGGAGGAAGACATGAAGGAGGAGGAGGAAGACGTGAAGGAGGAGGAGGAAGACATGAAGGAGGAGGAGGAAGACATGAAGGAGGAGGAGGAAGACATGAGGAAGGAGGAGGAAGACGTGAAGGAGGAGGAGGAAGAAATGAGGAAGGAGAAGGAAGCCAGGCTGAAGGCGTTGGTAGCCAAGAGGAAGCTTCTGCAGGTAACAGCTGCTGAAACAGCTACTAAAGTTCAGATCAAAGACCCTTAAAAAGTCAGAAACCTGTCTTGRTTTAAAGTCAGGCTGCTTTTTTTTAAATTGAACAAAATCGAACATTAACACATAGAAAGAACATGTTGCTTTGAATTTACTCAACTCAGTTAAGTGGAACCAGGTGACATAACATGGTTGAGTAAATCCAACATTTCATTTTTAGAGTGTAGAATCTGCTGAGTCAGCAGCCATGTTTTTGTGGTATGACACGTTTTATTGGTCCTGGTCCTCATTCAGCACAGGCTGGTCCAGCGGAAGCGGGAGGTGGACTCCATTCAGGTAGAGAAGAACCAGTCGGACCAGGACCTGGAAACGTCCACTTTCGTAACAAAGCAGAAGTGTCTCCAGCTGAGGGAACAGCTGGATCGAGACCGCCAGGTAGCGAGGAAGAAGCTGGTGGATCTCACCACCCAGAGCGCCGCAGCCACCAAGAAGCTGCAGGGGGTCATCAGCAAGGTGAGCTTTGACCCCGCCCAGCTGCCGCCGGCCCACCTGCAGCTCCTCTAATTCTTCTTCTGCTGTTTCAGGGCGAGAAGATTCTTCGTCTGTCTGAAGTGTGCCACAAGCTGCAGACCAAACTGAAAATCCCCACCTTGGAGCATGAGCAGGTGAGGAGCAGACCAACTAGACCTGGACCAGAACCTGAACCGTGACCGGGTCAGAATCCCAGCAGTCAGTCTCTGTGTGCAGTGGAACCATGAAGGCTTCATGCAGTTCTGTCCAACAGTCCTGGTCCAGAAGCTGTTCTGTTTTAGCTGTTTATCAGTCAAAGCTTCGTCTCTTTCTGGAGATGTTCATACTTTAGAACAGAAACTCAGACCGGTCTGGACCCATCTGAGACAGACGACAGACTGGTACAGCACTAATCCTCCTGTTGATCTCAAGTTTAAATCCTTCCAGCACACCTGAGTTTAAGGACAGGTTGTCCAACGAGGACGTTTTGTGTCTTTCTGCAGACGTTCTGTGAGTCTGGGAACCTGCAGCATCATTTGAACGTGGCTCTGCAGCATCGGGAACTTCTGAGGAAGCAGAAACAGGATCTGATCCGAGAGAACCGCCAGATGGAGCTCCTGCTGCAGCATATGAAGGACGGTCCCCTGATGGTGTTCCCAGCCCTGTCCTTGTCTGTCCCTCCAGACGCCAAATCAGCTGATGGTACCGCTCTGTGTGGAGGCGCCACAGCGCCCCCTGATGGTCCAACTGATTCTGATCATAACTGAAGAATTACTACAGTGTCACACACACACACACACACACACACACACACACACACACACAC